CCACTGTATTCAACATGGTACAAACCAAATTTTGTATTTTTGATCCTCATTTTTACTATTGTTAAGACATTTCTGCTCTTATGGAATTTTGAAATCTATCATCAAATTGTAATTTGGCAGTGACTGATTTGGACATCTTCTTTCCCCCCCAGTATAAGAAGCATCGTTCTTCTCATGCACATACCAACAACTTTGCAAAATCTGTGGTCAACCTTGTGGATTCTGTAAGTACCCCAGTTTTCTTAAACCTATTTTAAYGGAGATGGCACAGTTTATATCTCTATCTCTGTTTGCTGACTTGTTTTCTTAGCTATTTCCTGGGCAAAAGTAAAAATGCAATCATTACGTTTGTCTGGCTGAGAAATTTTAGGGTAGTCTGCTTCAGAAGCAGTAGTGTTATCAGAGTTTCAGGGAGTTACTGAGTATTCTCAGAATTCCAAAGCTGCACTAACATTGCTTCCTTTAAACCTCTATTTACTTATTTTTATTCATTATTATTCAAATTKTGTGTATTTATGTGCAGTGTTATAATATGCTACATGTTTACAATGAGCAATGGTCAAATCAGGGTAGTTAGCATTTCTATCTCCTTAAACATGTAACTTTTTTTTTCTTTAGCATGTAATAAATATATAGTCTTGCTTCTAAGCAATATCTAAACCTTAGTATCACCAGAGTCTATAAGGGACAAAAAACAATGGATAAAATTAGCTACCCTAAGGAGTAAAAATTATACTGACAAGTAGAACTTTGTTAATAACAGGTGGAGCTTTTCTAGAATATGTGGCATTAGAAAAGAAGAACTAATAGATTGAGGCAGAGTGTGTTTGGAAAATATAGATAATAGAAAAAGAATTTTAAAGGGAACAAATTTATTACCTTAGTATTCTCATTAGTGAAATGTTTCAGACTTTATTTCTAGATGACAGAATTAGGTGCAAACCTCAAATAAAACTAATTTGAAAAAAAAATAATATATATATATATATATTTTTTTTTCCTTGAAAGGCTTCTAATTCTTCAAATCCTTACTATTGATATGTCCGCCCCCCCCCCCGCCCCATTTTATGTTACAAAGAATGATTGTTAAGATTTTCTTCCTTTTTCTGCTTTGGGTAGGAACTCTGTAGAGCTGGATATTAAGCATTCTGTTCCAATGAATAATTCAATTTGACTAGCATACATTAAATACAGCATGCTACTTTATATATTGTAATGCAAAATGCTATTTTGTTCAGCTAAATGCATTTTTATCTGATATTTATTGTATGTTCCTCCTTAATAGTGAAAAAAAAATCTTTTATAACTTGCTGAGCATCTAAGTGATATTTATTGACTCCAAGGAGCTGCCTTCTTTTCTGCCTTTTAAACAAACTAAGAACCTCCAGCCATATGAATTCTCATAACATACATTATGCATACCTAGCTTATGTTATGTGCCTGGTGGCCACTGAGGAAATGAATAATATGAATGGATGTGCATAGAATGTATAATATAAAGTTAAGCTTGAACCTCTGAGAGCCAGTGTACACCTGGTCGATTAATTTTAATTTCAGGTCTTGTCAATCTTCTTAGAGGAAAGTCGTTAAGTGAAAATGAAAAAGAGAATCATAAACACATCATTTTCCCTGAAAAAGCTGTTTACTTGGTAGCACGTCTTTGTTAGTCATTTCAGCATGACTGAACAGAGTCACATCTTGCAAAGTGTCATTGCCATATAAGGTTCTGGAGCTGATCACTAATTTTTAAAAGACATTACGCTTAACTCAGTTTTGTGTAGAGTCGTGATAGCTTCAATTTGACAATGGCATCATGATGGTCCCCTTCAGTGTGTTCACAGATCACCCGTTGTTTTCTTAATTCGTTGGCAAATRAGACAAAATGGAAGCACTCACTGAAGTTGCTTAATTGTGTGAGTTATTCCGATTGGGGGCCAAATGTAGAGAAACAGAGGAGAAGGGTGACAGTCTAAATATTGGGAGTGATCCTCCCTGTGGCAAGGATGAGGTGGCTGATATAAATCTGATCTTTTCCTCTTCTGATCTCAGCTCTGTGATTGCTTCCCTGTATTATTTTACTTTTCATATAACATGGCTCCAAGGACAAGCCAGCCACTGTTCGTTGGCCTGTTCCAATCCTGCAGGAGTAACTGGTTATATTACACTTAGAGTCACTCYGTCACACTCAGCCTGTTGCCTCCTACGAGGTTTGAAAGGAGATTTTTATGAACCCTGTTCTCAATTTATGTCCTGACTTTAGAWTCTTGACATCCTTACACCTGACTCTCTATACCCTCGTGAAATGCTAGGCCACCAAATGTACAGATCGGGTGGAAATAACCTTATATGAGATAAGGTGATGTGGGACTGACTTATATAGTTATTCTTTCTTTCCTTTTGCTCTTGGGAAAGAGAAAGGAAAAGCAGTTTCTCTGTGATGAGCTAATTCTGACCCCGTGTTCTCTCACCTCCCCCTTCCTGTCCTTCCGCTGACTCTGACTCACTGATCGTGCATGTTTGACCCAGTGTTTTCCTCCTGCACCTGTCCTGTTGTCTACCCTTAGATTTACAAGGAGCAGCTCAATACCAGGGTTGTCCTGGTGGCCGTAGAGACCTGGACTGAGAAGGATCATATTGACATCACCACCAATCCTGTGCAGATGCTCCATGAATTCTCCAAATACCGGCAGCGTATCAAGCAGCATGCTGACGCTGTGCACCTCATCTCGTATGTACCTGTTTAGGCTTCTGTTATAGTCTTCAGTTTGACCTTTGTCTTTATTCCTTTGTGGTGTCAGTTAAATTATGTATCAGAAAATAGTGACTTGAACAGGACTGCTGTTGGTGCCTCTCTCCATTATCTAGGAAGCATAGAGGTAGGATCCCAGTGCTGGGATCCCAGTGCTGCTTCCATGGCCATAAGCTCTACCTTCAGAGCATATAACTTCCATCCTCAAGGTCAAGTCACAACCCAAGATGGCTGCTSGTGCTCCAGCCTTCCTTACGGGCAGTTGAGTCAACTTTTGTAAAGGACATTTCCTGAAAGTTTGCATGCATCAATTTCACCAGCAAATCTTTTGCTAGATCTTAGTCACATGGCCAAAGAAGGCTAGGAAAAATGGTCTTTGATGAACCACCAAATAATATAATTGAGTTTCCTCAGCAAGGAGGAGGAGTACTATGCTTTCTTTCTTCCTGTAACAAGCTGTTACCTTCCCTGCTTATAGTGAAGACAGTCTTCTAACATTCTTCCTAGAATCAAACCAACCAGTGTACTCCTTATTCCCCCCATCTTCACCCTTTCTTTTCTTTTCTTTCAGTCTTTAATTATCAATTTATAATGATCAGTAATATTCTGTAGAACTACTAGATACTCTCTTCTAGAAAAGGATCCAGAGCTGTGGTCTGTTAATCTCTGTATCTTTAATTCCTGTGCTGGTACTTGATGCTTGCTTGGTGCTCAGTTAATGCTGGCTCAACTGAGATTGTTTTATACATCATAAAGGTATTTTGGCAACATAAGTTTAAAGTGTATTTAAAATACCGTTTTTATTTCCTAAGGAGGATGGTTTTGGGGTGTTCAATGTAGGAGAGCAGACAAGTTTAGGGAGCCATTATATGGGAGCCATTACATTGGTCTTCTAACAGCATTTTTTCCCTTAAGGCGCGTGACATTCCACTATAAGAGAAGCAGTCTGAGTTACTTCGGAGGTGTCTGTTCTCGCACAAGAGGGGTTGGTGTGAACGAGGTAAATTTTGTCAGTTTTCCTTAAGCAAAAATTTTTCTTTGCATATGCTCACTTTCTTCTTTAGGGCCAGTTTACATTCCTTCTCATGCTTGTTTTAAATTCTGGTGTTGAGACCGTGGCATGAGTGGCTTAGATTAATCCAAAATAGACGGTAGGATTCATGATGATATCCTTGGGGTATGATAATCATAGTTTTGCATACTTATCAGGTAAATGCAAGCTGAAAACCAGCTTGGGAGGTTTTAGGTGTCTATAGAGAAGATGTTAAATTTTTATAAGCTTTTTAATCCTTTTCTTATAATTTTTAAACTTACAGTGTGCTCTTCTGTCCATGTTAGATTTAAATTCATTTAAATCAAAGGATTTACAATAGTATTGTGGGTTTTTTTTCTCCCTATGCATATTTATTCATYTTTATGCCTTCTACCTTCCAATCTGTAGAATGAATCAAAACAAATATTTTCTTAATATCATTGTTTGTATTTTGATACCTTTATTTTTATAAAGAAGATTCTTAGTTGGCCAAAGTACCTCAAAAAGCGTGACCAACTATATCTAAATTCTCATCAGTACTAGAATATGTTTTACCACGTTATCCCAATAGCCATCATTCAGTGGGGACCTCTCGCAACATAGTTGTACTAAGTTGAAATTTATTCTTGGCTTGATATGGGCTGAGTCAGAGACTAGTTTTTTGGGACTTGTCATTATATTTACATGATAGAGCTTGTTTTGAATGCCCTGAGAGTTCCTTCTTAGGAGGAAGGGCCTTTTGCTACTTGGGCCTAGTTGCAGGGAAGAAGTGAGAGGGAGCATAGGCCATCTTTAGATGTTGTGAGGTTCTGCATAGGGAGTTGAGATGATATGTGGTAACAATTAAGAAATAATAACTAGCTTTGTGCACTCTCTCAAATGTTTCCCACACACTTTCAACTCTGAAAAACAGTATGGTCTTCCAATGGCAGTGGCACAAGTATTATCACAGAGCCTGGCTCAAAACCTTGGAATCCAATGGGAACCTTCTAGCAGAAAGCCAAGTATGTACATTGACCTTCTCACTCACTTTTGTGGGCCATTCTTCTGTATAATGCATGTCTGGGCAATACATATTTTTCATTCTGAAGCCATTATAAGTTTACCTGTATCATATCTCCTTCCTCTAAAACATTTTTAAAACAAGCAACTTAAGATAGTTCTTAATCTAGTCCCCAGCTGGTGTYCCAAGATGGACACTACTGCAACTAAATATGGTGGAGGAAGGGGAGGGGAGGAAGCATGGGGGCAGGAAAGATGGTGGAATGAGATGGACATCATTACCCTAGATACATGAATGACTGCACATATGGTACAGTGCTACTTCATGTACAACCAGAGAAATGAAAAGTTGTGTTCCATTTGTGTACAACGAATCAAAATGCATTCTGCTGTYATATATACCCAATTAGAATAAATAAATAAATTTTAAAATAATTTTWAAAAGATAATTCTTAATATATTTGGGTTATAGAAATTTCTTCTTAATAATCTGTAAATCATACTCAGTTGCTCRGGACTTGAGTTGGCTCTTTTTCACATTCCAGAATTGTTACAATTAGGAGTGATGGATACTCCCATTCTGAGTTCTAACCAGCTGAGTATGGACACAAGATGCTCGATAAAAATCCATCACCAGATTAGTAGTAGTATAGTTAGATTGGGAAATAGCTTACATCTAGAGCTAAAGAGGATCTTGCATTTAAACTTGAAATAAACTTACCTACCTAGTCACATCAGAAAAGTCAGAGAAAAAAGGCTCCCCTAGACACAGCCTGTCCCAGGCCTTTTAAGCTTGGAGCGGGTGAGATAGAACAGAGTTCTCTCTGTTGGGCAGGCAGGTCCAAGATAGAGTCCATACAGGGTCTCAGATCCTTTCAATTAAAAAACCAAGATGTTAGGCACCACTTTCTTCATCAATCAGATGCAAGACAGAAAGACAGGGCTGACTTACCCAGTGAGCTAAGTGTCTATGACCCGTCATCATTTTAAGGGCTCGGGAAAACGTCTAATGTCTTTTAAAATTATAATAAAGCCCAACCTGAATTATATTCCTTTTTCTACCAACAAAATAGTAAAATATAATTTTAATACTTTTTTTTGTGGCAGAAGGCAAGTACCTATGGCCCACAAACATCATAATTGGTCTCTCTTGTGGAAARAGAGACCAGTGTGTTCACTCATATTCACTTAACTAGAAATTAAGTGGAATCCCCACTCCTCTGGGTAAATATGAGATACCAGGAATAAGAGGTCTTCCTTCCACCCCAATCTCCCCCCACAAAAAAAAAGAAAAGGAAAAATCTACTGTAGCATTATATTACATTTTATACTTTTTTGGTCATTAATGCCTAATAGTATGAAAAAAATGAAACAAAATATATATACCCATGTGCTTACTGAATCCTTTGATAGGTATCTTAAATATCAAGTACGTGGTCATCACAGCTGTCTGGAGGCATTTTACAAATCCCCATGAACTTTCTAATATCTTGCTCAAAGTATTTGCTTCTCCAAAGAAACACTCATTCCACATTAAAGGGATGTTTAGAATTTCATGAGCTGTCATGGAGACCTTAAAACCAGAAAGGTGTATAACCAGATTTATGGCCTTGTTTAAAATCCTAGAGGCTGGTGTCGGGGTCAGCTGAAAGTATTACAGGGGTGGACAGGCCAAGGAAGTGGTTCATTCCTAACGTCCACCATGCTCCTTCCTGTCTACAGTTCTGTATTCTTTCGTGAAAAATGTTTGTTTAGGTAGCTGGTTCCTGAGTTCTAAGCTTTGAGTTTAAAAAAAAAAATCCATTTGGAAGTCTTACTTTAAAAATATCATCAGATAGAAAAGAGAATAGAAAAAAATAAATGARAGGAAGAGCCCATTTTAGTACCAGCATGTRGGTTTCTGTTATGTATATTAAACTTATGATTGGTATTTAAGTGATTATGTGCRTGTCTGTTTAGACTGATCTCTTCTGCCAGACCTTTTAGCACAGTGTTCCTCAAGTCTCTGACCAATCCTGGCTTTGACTCAAGCAAATCAAATTCCCTGCTCTAATCACCAGTGTGACTTTGTTAGAAGCACTTCAGTGCTAATTCATTGTGTTCATGGAGAGCACACAAGCGCACAATCTCTGTGAACCCCAGAATCAGTCTGATAAAGACATAATTCCCATTTTAGAAGTGGAAATGCTGAGACCCAAGAATGACTAAGTCACCTGCCTATGGGACCCTCTCATGTGGTGGAACTTACACTAGATCTCAGGCTGTCCAGTCTCTGGAGCCCTTAGGGTACTTCTCACTATACATTGGAACAAGGAACCTAATTGAGTTGTCCAAGTTAGAAAAATAAAGAGAGGCATAGTTTTATTTCCTGCCAGGTRTTATCTTAGGCAGCAACCTGTGCTTCTGGAAAGGATAAGGAAATATTGCTTAAGTGAAATAAATTTTGTCCTKAGACTACCTACCCATTCTCAATCTATTGACATGGAATTGGTAATAAAGGATTTRTGTAGGCACTGTAATACAAATTAAAGATGTGACTTTGTTGTTTCCCTTTTTCCTGTTCCATTGGACTAGAATGTGACTGCACAGAATCCTGGGGTGGCTGCATCATGGAGGAAACAGGGTAAGTTTTTACACGTGCATTTGACATAGGCCTTTTGCTACAATTGCTACATGTAATCAGAGACACACTCTCTCAGTTACTGGTCTTTTAGGCTAAGCAGTTAGTGTAAATTCAATAATTAATTCTCTGATATTTTAAAGTGGTCAGTACTAATTCACTTTATATTTTAATTTTTAATTTAAGTTTGGTGATAAAAGTAAAATGTATTAGCTACTCTGCTTCTTATTAAGGAAGCACATTTCTATATGCTTCTAAGTTTAGGGGAGACATTAATTTTTTTAGTACATTGGAATAAAAAATGGTACCTGATGCAGTCAATGAAAATCAATTTAGGCATCAATTTACCTTTTAAGGAATTATAAATGTATATGCTTACACTAGTAAAAATTGTACTACAATGAAGCTTTTTTTTTTTCTTCTCAGATTTATTGTGTCAAATAGATAATGTTCTAGTGGTAAATTTTTTAACATTCACTCACCTGTCCTCTCTTTTCTTTTGAGGATACTTTAGAAACTAGAGCAGTTGCCCCATAGCTACTGTTGAGTCAATGAATCTAGGCCCTGACACACGGCTCTTTCCCAGGGACCTGTGCCCCATGCAGGCCACTGCCCCGAGGCCTCCTAAGCTATAGCCCACTCCTAGTAGAGGGGAGAGGTTTCCTTATTTAAGCCCCTCTCCTACTGGACACCTGCCCAACACATTTGGCAGGACATTGGTGTTCCTTCCAACTGAGTCTTATTACCAGAAGCCCCTACCCACCTGTGCAGGTCCCTTCTTTATTCTACCATACCCTTCCAGGAGTCCAATTATTGGGCAGAGAGGTTTACACAGTCAGGCCCCATCATCCTTGCAACTTTACAGCATATTCCTAGAAATGAAGTTTATATTCAAAACTCATAGCTTCCATTGTTGCATTACTCTTGTTCCACAATTTAATAATTTAAAGGTATACAGGCATTTCTGAGGACCGTTGTAGGAAGGCAGCGCTATTTTTAATATTGGTTTTACAAGGAGATGTCTTTTTTCTTTTTCAATTCCTAATTTCTAAATGAATTTTTGARCCGATTATTCATAGAATATAATAAAACTATTTAAGGCTAATGTATTTTTTCTCAAGTATATTGTTTTTGTAAGATATCACTGTCAAYGGTGACAGGTTTTATTTACTTCCATAAATAACCCTCATCTCTCATATACTATTGTATTATATCCTGGAATAAGTAGACTGTCACTCTCAAATCAATTTCTGAGAAATCAGTATGTATGATTCACCTTAACCTTGATCATATAATGGCATATATATATATATATATATATATATATATATACACACACACACACACACACACACACACTACACATTAATAAGCATTTAAAGCATATAATATTCCCTGTGTGCTGACATAGAGGTATTAATTTGATTAAGTAAATCACAGAGAGGCTCATTTTATATTCCTGTGAATTTTTTTCCTATCACCCAATAATATTTGAAACTGAGAATGAGGAGCTGTTATTTATGGGAACTATCCTAATTCTGTTTTTCCTGTGTATATACACCCTAAAAGCATATGTACACGTAGGTGTATGGTCCAGCACATCTCTTTACAGTTTTCTGGTTTACCTGAGTCACTTTGTTGAAGGCTGAATTRTAGTCTTTAAAAAAATCTACCCTCCCAACTCCTTTCTCCAGAATTGAGTCTTATAGGCTTATGAGCTCTTTTTATTCAAGGCACAGTCAAAAGAATGCCTTTATTGAGTCATAGCAAATAAAATGACCACACTTTAAAATGCAGCCTAGATGAAAGGTTTTGTAGTGAACTTTAAAAAAACTGCTTCAAACAAGGTCACAAGAGGACTTGAAAGCTGAGGAGGTTGTGACCTTGTCCCCAGTTCTGTGATTTTCTTTGCGTTTATATTTTTTACAAACTCACACATTTATTTTACAATTGGGACCATAAGTACCTTRTCAAAATTTGTGTAGTTTCATCTGGATTCAGAATGAACATTTTGTTCTCATTTAGGGGTCTTGATTTTCTTCTCTGATGACTGTTTTTGGTATATTATTTACATCACTGATGCATTATTTCCTCAGGGTATCCCATTCCCGAAAATTCTCAAAGTGCAGCATTTTGGAGTACAGAGACTTTTTACAGAGAGGAGGTGGAGCCTGTCTTTTCAATAGACCAACAAAGGTTAGTAACTTCAGAAGTGTAATTATCTCTCCAGTGTTTAACAATGGAACAGTGCCAGATAGCATGTAATTGTCTTGGAAAGCAGGTTTCTTGTCAGATTAATGCTTAGTTRCAAAAAGTCTTTATCATGTGGAAGATTGAATCCTGTTTGAATGAATGACCGAGCTATAAATCACTGTTCAGTTCTAGGTGCACCCCAAACCCYCTACAAAGCAAAACCCCTTCAACTTAATATCTTTGATATTTTCATGCACCTCTCTACTAAGAGACAGTGCATTAGACCAAGAAAGTAACCCGTTTTTCATTGTTTCTAGGTGTCCAACTTCTTYCTGTCTCTTTGCCTTTCTTCCCCTTTGCCGGCCTGCCTAACTCCAACCCCCTCTCTACTTCTSTGCTCTCCCAGGAAGGAAACATTGCTAATATCAGCCAGCCAAAACATGGTATTTTAGGGTATTTATGGCTGCCATAAAGACCATAGGTATTTATACTCCATAGTCTCTTCACCTAGAGGAGGTCCACATTGTCCTGGCATTTCATCAGAACTTGTATACAGTGTCAAAAATCCCTTATTCCTAAATCCTGAGTTCAAAAACCTGAAAATTTCTAAATGTGGTTTTTATGAGTTTGCAGAAAACACATGTAACAATACAATTACATTTAAAATCTGTATTTATCCCCCATAGGGTGAATACATGCAAGTCTTATTGCAGAAATGTTAATTTGTTCAATTGTAGTGTGTGTCCCAGGCCTCTTGGGACTGTTACGCAGAACATGGACAATCATCATACTTTGATAAAATGCAGCAAAACCAGAATTCTCAGACTTTCTCACTATAGAGCTTTTGGATAAGGATCTGCTTGGAAAAAAAGTTCCTCAGCAGACAGAAAGATAGGATCAATGCTAATGATCAGATGGTATAGAAATTCTAACACAGAAAATTTCATATTTTCTTTAAAATACTACTTTATAAGTCAAATACAGTTCATTACTATAAAAATGTTTTTAATACTTTGCAAATGAGATCAGTGGAATCATGTGAGATTTTCTTTAAAAAAAAATCAGTGCTAAAGTGAGTAACTGATAGAGTAACTCTCCATATCCATACTCTCCATAATTAAGTGATACTGCTGGAGTCAGCGGATGGTAGCTAATGTCTGATATCTGTATAAAATTTCAGTAAAGCTGTGGAAAAAAGAAAMTGAACTTTTAAAGTGACCTTACAACATTAATGTAGGCTGCCTATCTTTTATGGCATTGATCTTAGTGCACCAGAAACCTGAAAGCTTTGAAGTGTTTGAAATGGGTAAAATCAGTAATAAAGAAATGATGCAAGATGCTGGCATTTTTTAATTGCTGTGTACGTGGATGATTTTACCTAGCTTGCAGAGTACCAACTAATTAAAAGCATCATGCTTGAGGAAATAACACTCACTGATTTGGGAAGGATAAGGTTTCTTATATATGCATTATAAGGATTCATCGTTGCTTTTCTCAAATTGCCCATGAGTGGGAAGACAATTATTGCAATAATTTGGAAACTGTATAAAAGTAACTATGTATACATCTTCAATTTTGAAAGTAAATAAAGAATTGTTTCTCTTCTTAAATTACATATTACAACGATTTTTWAAAAAGCCCTGTGGATTCTAGAAGAATAGTTTATATATATATCAAATAACTAATTTTTTTCCCAAGTGTTTTTAGTCMATGAGGGTATATATATGCATGAGTTATATGTTGTTTTCATATTATTAATGCGCATATTTTGTGTGCTTTGGGAATCTTCTCATCTGCCATATTTTTCATCTGGTTTGAGGTAGTGACACATCTCAGGATGGAGAAAGAGCCCTAAGAAAGAAAGGACCAGAGGCCTAAAAGAAAGTGCTGATTGTGTTCTCACCGGCCCTTCCATTTTACATTTTATCCTAAGAGAGTGCTAACAGAGATTAGCACTGTTGATGTCACTCATTAAACTTTCCCCAGTGGAGTCTCACCCARCTAGGGTGGGAGCTTCCTTGCTTCTTATAATAGTTAGAGGTCAGGTCTTTCATGGGTAGACTTGGTAGAAGGTAACCTTTCCTCAGGGTGTATACAGCTGCTGGGGACAGAGTCTCTTTCTCTCTCTCACATCCAAGGTTCTGAGCATTTTGTGTTACAATGTGCTTCACCCAAGGTAATGATCATGCCCAGAGAAATCCTTCCCCAGGGAAGTGGGAAATAGGGCTGTTTCTCATAAGCTATGTGCTGCCTCAACAGTTGGTCCCTAATAGCATTTATCTAGAAGCAAGTTCATGGCCCCAGTAGGATGGGTTATTCTAGAAATTTGATGGTTTTATCACTCCAGCTATGACTGAGATATTGAGATTTCTGTAGATTCACGCTTGTGTCTACACATTCATCTAACATGTTTCAGACAGATGCAGGTTTCTTTTCAACAAGGAGGATGGGCTTGGGTTTCTTGCAACATTGTTTTCTAAGTTTGTTTGCATTGACTTGATTTTRTGTATCWCRTTTGGCTGTGACTGAAGAATATTTATCTTTTTTGACAATTTTTATGTCTTCTGATCTGCCTTGAGATAAGTCAGCAAATTAGATATCTGTGATTCTTATTAGCAATGCATTTTAGCTCCATTAGCAAMTATGAAAAATGATCTATCCCTCTTGACAGATTATTTCCATAAAAAGTAACTCTAATGCTAGAGATCATCTCTCAAGCCCACTACCTGTGAAACCCCTTGGAGATTTCCCACCTTTCAAGTATGGTTTTAGAAGTGTTATTAGTAAGTGAATAGTGTTTCCCACCCAGACATCCTATATAAGATGACTTAAGGGACTGGGATTGTGGCTCAGTGGTGGAKYGCTTGCCTAGCATGTGCYGGCTCCTGGGTTCAATCCTCAGCACCACATAAAAATAAACAAAGTAAAGGTATTGTGTCCAACTACAACTAAAAAATAATTTTAAAAAAGATGACTTAATAAYAGGTCATAGAACAATACCACATGATAGCTGGGTGTAGAGCTATGTATGTGGTGTTGATTTTCTGTGATAAATTATTTTCCTTTTCTCTTCCTAATCTCTTTCAGCTATTTGAGCCAACAGAATGTGGAAATGGATACGTAGAAGCTGGGGAGGAATGTGACTGTGGTTTCCATGTGGTGGGTATAAGAGGGGACTCTACCTTCAGTACAGCTCCTCCAGCACTAATAAGAACATTGTTAGTGAGAGGYGTCTCTGCTGTTCATTGTCGCCCCACTGCCTTTCTTTCTGACTTCTCTGATCAATACTCCTTCCCAATTTAGACATGCTAGCATTAGTCATATCCTTATGGGCCTTGTCTGAAAAGGACAAATGGATTGTTCTAATCAAATTTCCTACCTCTTTAAAAATCCATGACTCATATCAGGTTGGATAACTTTTACCAAATCACAAAACACTTTTTTTYCCATGCTCTTTATTGCTTTTGCCTTTATAAAACTTAACTGGGTAGTAAGAATGTTAGTAGAGCTAACCAGGGGTGGGGCACTGCTTAACAATTAGATACTCTTYGAGAGAGAAGTCCTTTCATAGGAGATCATGCTGTGCTAGGAAATGTGGCAGGAAGGAGACCACAAAGTGATCTTTCTTTGCTAAAATATTTGCTTATAATTACATATGTTTGCTCACTTGGATTTTGCATAAGGCACATGTAGAGAGAATGTCAAGAGTGGCTTTACTCATTTAAGGTGTTTTTCTCTAGGAATGCTATGGATTGTGCTGTAAGAAGTGCTCCCTGTCCAACGGGGCCCACTGCAGCGATGGGCCCTGCTGTAACAATACCTCATGCCTTGTGAGTTACCCGACAGCTTCGTCTTTCTTTTAATTGACAGATTAACCAAATATCTCAGTATGTGCATTGAGCATTTGTGTAGCTTGTCATAAATGTGTGAATGTTGGCTCAATARTTTTGTAGAATCAGTAATTCCATCCAACTTTGGTGGTTCACAACATTTGCCTTTACTGTTACTCTCTATCCACTATCTTATCCTCCATCATCTCCTTAAGAAAATATACCTATGCAGCTTCCAAAATAAACATTGGGAGTTGCCCTACTAACACAGATGAGACTCAAACAAGTCATTGAATAGAAGAGGGACAATACCTATTATCTTTTTGATAATAGGRCCTACTTATAACTTTTACTTCAAAACTTTCCCTAATTCATTTTAGACCTCAAGTATAAAAGGTAGTGTTCATATTTTTCCACTTGGCTTTTTGAATCCTCTATGTAATCAGGAAAGCTAGATAAGAGCATAATTATGTATGTTCATATATGTGTATGCACAATTTGTGTGTGAATATGTGTGGACACAGTCTTCTATTTATAGTGATCCACAGTTTTTGAAAAGTCATTTTCGATATTCCTTTTCCTAATATATGAGGCCTGTGATATTTCCTGTAAGTATAAAATTACATAGTTTTACTGATTTTTTTCAATACAGAAGGATATTCTATGGTACTATATTCTAGAAGATTCTAGCTTAGTTTATACTTGCTTCATGCCCCCTACCAGATTATAAATTGCTTAAAGCTAAYGAGTCTTTTTTCATGTTGTACTCATCCTTTCCCATATAAACAAAATGTTTTGTACATCATAGGCAATCACTGGCATCACTGAAGGTAATTTATGTAGATTCATTGTAATTTTATTGTATATATTTAGTTAAGGTAAGATTAACATTCAAGCTAAATATAAATTAAATAAATTAGTGCAGGTTGGAAATGTATATCAATCGTTTAGAGAGATCTTAAATGTTTATATTACAGTGTTTTGCTCCTCTGTCTCAAGACGAATCAGTTTCTTCTTTACATAATTTCCATTACATTGCTTTCCTAAAATAATATTTGGAGACAGTTCGATTGAAGCCTGAATACTTAATGCCTTGGCTGATGACTCATCTTCAGTGTAGACAGTCTCGTCTGGCCTTGTATCATCCTGTAGTTATTGTATTAATTCATCAAAAGGGACTGGTGGTAGTTGGTTACAAGATTATTATTGGTGAATTTAAGAGTAACTTTTTCAAAGATTAATTAGTACTAGCTCCTAATATTGGGTTTTGATTTACAGTTTCAGCCACGAGGTTATGAGTGTCGGGATGCTGTGAATGGRTGTGATATCACTGAATATTGTACTGGAGACTCTGGCCAGGTATGGCAGACTGAGTTTTCGGTAATACATTGTACAATGTACATATYGAAACTTTCCATGTAGATTACTTGTGTGAACACGTTTTCTTTCTTGTTTTTATGTTTTGGCATGTTATGTTTTCTAGTTATTTTTAACTCTTCATCAGACTTTTATTTTAGGAAAGTTGGGCATGTTATTTTTGGACCCATACTTTTTTTTTTTCCTTCCAAATTTCCCCTTTATAGGTTTTTTAAAAATTTATACCCTACTAATTGATTTTTTCCCCTGGTCCTAACATCTTAAATAGTACATTAATGAGGCACTAATATACTGTTTCAAATATTTTATTGCTATAAACCCAGTCTTTTAACAACTTTTGGATGGGAACCCACTGTAGAAAACTAAGGACAAGCAGCACTGTCCTGAGGTGGACTGGGTGCGGAAGTCTGCCTTCCTTAGTCTCTTGATGCCTCCACCCCACTACTTAACCTTGGCTTCAAGGCTTTTACATTTTAGCATGATTTTCTTTTTTTCCCCTACTTTTTTATTGATGCATTATAGTTGTACATAATGATGAGATCTGCTGCTATACATCCATACATGCAATGCACACAATCTAACAATCCAGTTTGATCAATGTCACTCCCCAGCRCTTCCCCCTTCCCTCCACACCTCCCACCCCTTGATCCCTTTCCTCTATTGATMTCTTTTTGATTTTTAGGAGAAGCCTTTGAGTTTTGATATGACTTTTTCTACACTAAGTGATTATAACATTGTAATTAATGTTTCCTTCTAGAATTCCCTCTTTATATACTTTTTTAATGTTTCTGATTATGCTAAGTCTTTGTTATTCAAATAAACATTTGTTGAATTATATGTCCTGCAATGCTGTAAATACCAGGACATGGGAGGTTCTTGTGGAACCTACCTTCTGCTGGTATAAAAGGGCAAATAAGTAAATAAACATGTTAGATTGCATAAAGAAAGCTCCTGTGGAAAAAAAGGATGGCATGGGGGCGTTAGCCAGGGTGATCAGCTGTGTTTTCCTCGGATAAGGAAAGATACACATAAGAAGGAACTAGTTTGTGAACAGTAAATGTAGAAGCTTGGCTTCTGCCAGAAATGGAAGGAAAGCAAGGAGAGGGGAAAAGATTCAACAAAATGTCAGGAATCAGGTCAGGTAGAAACTTGCAGCCATGGTAAGAAGTTTGGATTTCATTATACCTTCATGTTAATTCTGATAACCCTTCAAAAACATYTTCCTATGCTTTGCACAGTTATTATAATTATTATTTTCTTGTAGATTTATCTGTTGATTTATATCCAGTGATGGATATTTAGATTTTGGAAGTTTTTTAAATTATTTTATTAGCGTGGTAGTGAATATCTTTGTGCATTTTAAACAGTGTTTCTTGATTGAGGTTAACTCCTTAGCATAAGTTCCCATCAGGAGGATTACCTTTTATAAGGTATTGTAACTTCCAAGGTGCTCCCAACAGATAGAATACAGTTGGAGGCCAAAATATCACTTTTTAAGTTCAAAAGAGCAGGTTGAAGGCCATAGCTCAATGTGAGGGCTAAATGAGTCTCTTCATAAATCTTGGTTCTCTAACAGSGTACTGATAAAATCACCTGAGTATTGTACTGGAGACTCTGGCCTCTCCCTGCAGGGGTAGGTCTGTCATGGAGAAGTAGTAGAGAATGCATGATCTATGTGGGCAGGCTTGCTTCTAAGAGAAGAATGACAGAACAGAGCCAGACTGCCTAGTTTTTCTTCCCAAACTTATCTGCCAATCACTCCACTTCCATGTGGTAGAAGTGAATCAAGGAGCGGAACAGCTGAAGTTAACACTGAGTGAGCTCTGTTCACTGGAAGGAAACACAAGGAGAGAGAGAAATATTCATAACCATTTTTAAAGGTCTGTATATGTATTATCTAAGGCTTAATTCAAAGGGACCCTTTCAATGATATAGTATAGGGAAGTATGTTCAGGCTGTGTGTGTGTGTGTGTGTATGTGTGTGTATGTGTGTGTGTGTGGAGAGAGAGAGAGAGAGAGAGAGAGAGAGAGAGAGAGAGAGAGATTGATTTTCATGCATATCTGTTTCTTATATTTAAATATATAAAATAAATATATAAACAGGTTTCTTTGCAGTTTTTCTATATCATAGTGACAGAGAACTGTGTGTTCTCCTTTTCTTGACAAATGTACTGACAATCCTGATAAACTATTTCACTGAATTATATGGTTAGTTTTGTAGAATAATATTATTTTTATAACTACCATAGATGGTTTTAGTTCTTTGTATTCAGTCTTTTTGGAAGTATAGTTTTCTCATTCCAATTTTTAACTCCTGATWTGCCATGAATTTACTGAATATAAGGCTTTTATAATAGGGCCTCTTTGTTCAACCTGAGAGTCTAATGTYTAAGGAAAACATTTTTTTTCTTTTCACTACATTGGCATAAGTTAAAAAWTTTAYAGTTAAATYAATTTCTCATTGGCATATTAGAATAGAATATTTTCTTATTAWTATCATGTAAAACATGATCAGAATGATTTCCAAATGGACAATTGGAGTAGGAGTTWAAGTCTCTCAAAATTTTTCTTCTTTCAGAGACAGTAAACTTTGAATCTAATTGAGACTGATAATTTTTAAGAAAATAGAATCTCTGCAACCTCTGTAAATCAGTATCTATAGGCATTTTTTATTTTCTATTTTTAGTTATATATGACAGTTGAGTATATTTTGACATATTTATACAAACATGAAGTATCTTATTTTTATTAGGATCCTGTCACCTGCAACCTGTGTGGGAACGGAATAAGTAACCCTCTGAGGTGTGGGCTGGCTGGAAATAAAGAGTCTGAAAAAGTAATATCAAGAAATAAAGCATGGGGCTGAGATTGTGGCTCAGGGGTAGAGCACTTGCCTCACAAGCACTTGYCTCAGCAAGGCCCCGGGTTCCATCCTCAGCACCACATAAAAATAAATAAATAAAACAAAGGTATTTGTCCAACYACAACTAAAAAATAAATTTAAAAAAAGAAGAAAGAAAGAAAACAAAGATTCGKGAAAATATTTGAAGAAGGGGCTTGATGAGTGGAAGAGACCTGATGGGTCTGATCCTAACAATGGGAAAAGCTCAGGRATGCTATCTTTATAGTGAAACACACCAAAGGGATTCAGTGAGGAGCTTCTTCAGGAAAACAGGATAAGAATGGGGAAAACAAGTTGTTTGGGGATTAGCAGGTTATGCGGTCTCCAGGTGGCTGTGTTTGAACATAGTGCTGTGAGCTGAGGTAGGGAAACAGGATGATCTGGGCTTTCTTAGACCAGGGAATTTCATCCAGGAGTTTCCCCAAAAGTAGCCTCCTTGCCTTATGATGATTCAAACAAGCCCATAATTTATACACAACTACCAAAATTACCCCCTTATTTACTTTTTAAATGCAAGCAGTGTGCACTTACTTGGAGTTCCTGGATCTTTGTTCTGAGAGGAGGACAACCTAGTATCATGACACAAAAAAGAATTAGTATCAAACATATCATTTCAATAATATGCCATGCAGAATGCGTCAACATATTTCCAGGAGTAAAGCCATTTAATTCATGAAGTATTTGTGTAGCTGGAGATGCAGGGACCATGAAATCAATTTTGCTTTTCTGACTATCCTGGATGTGATGATGTAACTTCATAAGGTCCAAGTTATTATTATTGCTATGCCAAATGCCCACTAGATGATTTTTGACCTTTTCCCAATCCCACTGGGAAGCATTATTTTGTCTGCAGCATTGCAAACATATTTATAGCTGGCATGACGGCTAAGCCTTTGTTCAAATTTGAGAGTAGAAAGTTTATTTCCTATATTTATGACAATAGCTTTCAARGCATTTAATTTAGTCTCAATCTTTTCATCAATATTTACCTAATTCCTTCCAAGAATTATGAGGCTGAAAGCTCACCTGTGTCTGGTTAGCTGAGCATGTATCCGTTGCAAAACTTGAATCCCAGCATAAGCATATCATGGCCCTGAAATGTTAGCTGGGAATAAGGCAAAGGAGGGTTGATGAAGAATCAGAGTTCCTTTCCCTCTATTAYACCTAGTGATGCAATTAGTCAGTTTACACCTTTTACAAGTTACATGACATTTATTATCTTTTTTTCTTTACTCTTACATTTCTAGTAATTAAAGCGTAGGAGATTGGATAGGCTTACAGGCCATTGCAGAAGCCCCCCTTCCAGTTCCTGCCTTTAGAGCCAACTGTATAATGGAGAAAATCTGAGGCTGTTATTAAATGTCACAGATCTTTTTGCATGTTRCCTTCATTGAAAGTTAGAATATTACCAACGAATACTCCAGGGGTCATGGCATCCAGATGTAGCTGTCTCTTATCAATTCTTGGAGACCAATCCAAAATCTGTCCACCATTTCTAGAAACTTTATGTTGCATTGTCAAGGCATCTGTGCATTCCAACCATTTAGGGAAGGTGCCAAATTCTATTGCAAAACTATTAGGGCAGCAAGGTACTGGTGGGTGTTCCCTGGAAATAATTGGCCTGTTATGGGAAMGTCCCATAYTAATCCTATGATCTTAGGTACCAAGGGCCAGTATTATTGGTTGATACAGGTCCCTTATTTGATGKCTTTTACTCAAAAGTTACTTTGAACAGCCAGCATGTTTATCATGAGACTAACATATAGGTGGATTCTCACTGTAGCCAATATGATTAGATCCAGTGGCATGAATAGGTGTAATGTGTTTGTCTGTGAAACTTYCCATTATATAMATATCATTAGTAAATACTGGAATGGATTCTTCAGTCCACACAGCTGGATGTCCTAAATGTGGATCTGGGAAATGGGTCCAATAAGTTTCTCYGTGGACTCCACTTACCTGACAGCTCAATAGAACCAGCATAACCACAAACATTGAGATTGGAGTCTTAATACCTCCTTGTTGTTGAACCATCTGCTCAGCCTGAAGTGTCAGGTCCTTCAGTTGTCTCCATGATGAC